TATGTCATCATCCAGTTTGACTTGTAAGGTTCTTGAGGTCAGAGATTCTTCTCACTTTCCTAAAATGCTGAGAATAAGTAGTCCTCAAAGAATAACTAGATATAATCCTGAAAACGTGAGTGCAGATGGAATTTTAGCAAATCAAATCCTATTTTAAATGCCCTCGGGGAATTCATTATTTACAGCAGAGGTTATTAATTTTGGTTTTGTTTCATTAACTCCTTTGGCATTCTGGTGAAGCCTATGGACCCTTTTTTAAAATGAGGTTTTGATGTCTATATTCATAATTGAAAGAAATGTTAGATTTCAGTCAGAGGTTAGTTAAAATGCAGATGCAGTACTTTCCTATCTAACTTCACAGTCACTGAAATCTTCCCATAGAGCCCTCTGGTAGGACATGGGCTACAGGTTAAGAACTATTGATGTAAAAATCCAAGAACTTGCCCTTCCTCTAACCCTGGCATTATGTCTTCATTTATGAATCTGAGTTCTCTTGTATCAGGTTTACTTTAAGAGAGATTCACCCACTGGGCCACACCTACAAAAGGTACTCAGTAATTCATGATGATTATAATAATGAAATGATCATGACAGTGTTGATTTGGATTCCTTTCTGTCTCTCTTATGTGTGTGACTGAATGTGGGAATTCCATGGAGATGAACCCTTTGTCCAAAGTCAACAAATATTCCATATACCCTTCTTTTTGTGACAACACCACTACCTCTTAGCCCAACTACCTTACCCATTCACTCCTATGCCACAGGTATTCCCACTGTGTTCTCTCTTCCTACCACTAGATAGTTCAACCCCTCCTAATGTGAACTTTAGCTCATCTGATCAGCTCAAATGGGAATGGTGAATACTTCTTGCAAGGCAATATCTGGGCATTTAAATAGTGACCTGGAGATAATTCTCTTGCCCTCTTGTTCTAATGCCCCAGGGGCTCTAATGGTGGGACTATGTCAGGTCATTTGGGAGAGATACACAGCATGGATGATTTTTGTGCTCCTGAAATTGCCAGGAATAGGGGCTGTTAAGAGTGTTTGGGTATGTCCCATTCATTCATATCCTTAGCATGTCCCTCTTGGTTCTTAAGATTCACAAGGTAAGAAAAAATAGGCCAGCCATTCCTGGAATCAGTATGGATAAATTTTCACATTAAACATTTGAGAACTGGTATCCAGAGGTAGGAAGGCCTTTGCATTTCCCCCCTTTTCCTTCATGATTCCAGCCTCATTGTCTCCAAGGGCGGAGAACCTGTGTCCTCAAAGCCACATGTGGCCCTCCAGGTCCTCAAGTGCGGCCCTCTGACTGAATCCAAACCTCAAGGCCACAGGTTCCCCACCCCTGGAAGAAGGACAGGACACAGGGAAACTGGAGACGTTTATTTCATTCTCTTTAAGAATAGTTATTACTCGCTTCCTGTACAAGGAAGATTTGGATGAAAGTCTTCAGGAAGCTGGATCACTGTGAAGTCATGATCTCTTTCGACTGTTTCCCACCCAATCCCTATATTGTTTCTCCTCAATAATATATTCCTTTTCCCCATGGCACTAGGATCTCTGGAAATGAAAAGGAACCAGGAATTATAAAAAATTACCAAAAATCTGATGATAAACTTCCATAATCCTCCAAACCCTTCTAGTATGTCTTTCACACTCTTGTTGTTGTCATTTTTCAGTCGTGTCCCATACTTCATGCCCCCGTTTGGGGTTTTCTTGGGAAAGATACTGGAATAGTTTGCCGTTTCATTCTCCAGCTCATTTTACAGATGAGAAACTGAAGCAAACAGGGTTAAATGACTTTCCCCGGGGTCACACAGCTAGGAAATGCCTGAGGCCAGATTTGAACTCGAGAAAGAGTCTTCCTGACTGCAGGTCTGACTTTCTACCCGGTGTACCACCTAGCTTCCCCTTCCATACTCACCACCCTACTAAAATCAGTCTCTCCAAGATCACCTATGGTGTCTTAATTACTAAATCCAATGACTTTTTCAGTCTTGATTATCCTTGGCCTCTCTCCCTTTAGACACTTTGTGTTTTGTTCTATACTCTCTCTCTCTCTGTTTCTCTTTCTGTCTCTCTGTCTGTTTCTCTCTCCTACCACATTCTGCCTCGTAACTTATTTACTGATGTATATGTCTTATTATACCTTCTATTAGATTGTAGGCTCCTTGAAGGCAGGAACTGTGTAGTGTGATTTTTCTTCTTTTTATCCTCAGCACTGACTGAAAATAGGTTCTTGAATATACTATGTGCTTAATAAATGTTTATTTGGTTAACTTTAATCTATCCTGAACTCCATTTCTTTCCTATCTCTCAATCTGCTATTATTGCTACAGATAAGTCATAGATGCACAAAATCTCAGAGTTGGAAGGGGCCTCAGAGGTTATTTAATATAACTCATAAATGAACAAGAATCTTTTCTTTGGCACCTTGTAAGGGGTAGGTCATCTAGCCTCTGTTTGAAGACCTCCAGTGATGGAGAACTTACTACCTCTGAAGGCAGCCCATTCCACTTATTAGTAAACTTTGTATTGAGCTTAAATTTATTTCTTTGTAACTTAAACCCTATTACTCCTAGTTCTAGATCCATACAAGATAATTCTAATCCCTGTTTCTTATGACAAGTCTTTAAATATTTGAAACCAGCTTTGATTACACACACACACACACACACACAAAATGCTCTCTCTCTCGTTCTCTCTCTCATTTTCGCTCTCTCTCTCACTTTCCTTCTCCAGGACAAGATCAAATTGTGGCTTCTCTAGGGCAAAGACTATCTTTTGCCTTTCTTAGTACCCCCAGCCCTTAGCACAGTGCCTGGCACATAGTAGGTGCCTAATGAATGTTTACTTACTAACTATGACTACCACAAGCTCCTTCCACTATTTCTCCCATGTGGCATACTTTCCAGTTTTCCAATCAACCAGAATTCTTTACTTTGGACAGACTCCAACTTATTAGTGTGCTTTCATGGTACCCAGCACTGAGCACAGAACTCAAGATATGGTCTGGCTAGAGCAGAGGACACCAGGGATACATCATCACTTTCTTCCTTTTATATTCTATACTTCTATTAATGAAGCTTGTTGTCGCTGTACAGTTGTTTTCACTTGTGTCTGACTCTTTGTGATCCCAGTTTGGGTTTTCTTGACAAAGATGATGGAATGGTTGGTCATTTCCTTCTCCAGTTGATTATACAGATGAAGAAACTGAGGCAAACAGGTTTAAGTAACTTGCCCTGGGTCATACAGCTAGTAAGTGTTTGAGGCCAGATTTGAATTCAATAAGATGAGTCTTCTTGACTGTGGGCCCAGAACTCTATATGTTGTGCTACTTAGCTGTCTTTTAATGGAGCTTAGAGATCATATTTAGCTAGGTAGTACAGTGGATGGAGTTCTAGGCTCAGAGTCAGGAAGACTCATCTTCCTGAGTTCAAATCTGGCCTCAAATACTTACTAGCTGTGTGACCCTAGGCAAATCACTTAACCCTGTTTACCTCAGTTTCTCATCTGTAAAATGAGCTGGAGAAGGAAATGGCAAACCACTCCAGTATTTTTGCCAAGAAAATCCCAAAAGGGGCCATAAAGAGTCTGAAAAAGACTGAAAAATGACCACAAAGAGATCACTTTAACTTTATTGGCTTCCATGCCACATTATGGCTCATATTGAACTTTCATTGATCAAAAACCTCACATCTTTTTCACAGGAACTGCTGCATAGCTATAAAATCCCAGGTAATACCCTTATTAAGGTATATGAGTTTTTTACCTGCTTTGAGGCATGCCAATCTAGAAAGATATTTCAATCTCAAGCTACATTAAGAGAGGTATACTGTGCTAGACTAGGGAGGCAAGAATTCCTCTGCCCTGGTCAAGCGATACCCAGCATATTGTGTTCTGTTCTGGCCACCACATTTTAGAAGGGATATTAATGAGCTGAAGAGCACTGGAAGAAGACAACCAGGAGAGTGAAAGGTCTGAAGTTCATTCCATGTGAGAATCATATATAGAAAATAGGATGTTTATAGCCCATAAAAGAGAAGACCAAGGGGGGACATGACAGCCGTTATCAAATATTTGAAGTCTATCACATGAAAGAGGGATGAGACTTATTCTTCATGGCTTTAGAGAGAAGCACTACAAGAAACAGGTATGTCTTTTGAAGTGACGAATTTAGGCTTTAGTGTAAGAAAAAAGCTCTTCCTCCCAATTAGAGCTATCCAGCTATCTAAAAATGAAATGGGTTTCCTCTCTTTGGAGGTCTTCAAGCAAATGCTGAATGACTAATTGTCAGGTGTGTTGTGGAGTTGATTCTCATTCTGGTATGGGTCAGATCCTTCCAACTCTGACATTCTGTGATGTCAAAGGATAGACATGGAAAGGTTGTAAATTTTCATAGTGGGCAGGTCAGGATTAGCCCTAATACCAATCCCTCAGACAACAGAGATTGCCAGTATGACCGGCAACCATAAACTTCTTGCTGTTCTCATGACAGTTTTTGTACTCTGGTAATTAGAGCAATGAAACTGGCTTATATGGAGCTAAGACCAAGGTCTCTACCCACCTCTCAATGGACTAGTTTAGACTTTTTCCATGAATACTGGAGAATTCTTTTGCTAAGTGATGACAGGTCTACAAAACTTTAATTCTTGAAGTGTCTCAAGCACTTGATTTTTGGTTAACCTATTCAGAAAACGGACATTTTGCATACTTTACTGAGCACCCAAGAAAAGCTGTACCAAATGGTGTTGATTTTACTTAAATGGTACTATGACAGACAGTCCCAGGGGATGTGTCATTATAAATAGCTGAGATTTCTTCTTGATGAAGTGTGAAACCTCTGCTTCAAATCTTTCCCTTACTGGGTTAGCTTTTGTCTTCTATAAATGCCAGATCCTCAATAGTTTCTATAAATGCAAAGCAATATTTAATTTATTATTCATTAGAGGACAGAACATCACCCATCCTGAAGGATCCACAACTTGGAAAAGCCATTCTTTCAACAAACATTTATTAAGAGCCTACTGTAGATGGCATGGTGTAGCAGGTAGAATGTAGAATTTGGAGTATACCTGGGTTCAAATCATTCCTTTGACACTTAATTAGCTTTGTAAGCCTGGGCAAGTCATTTAACATCTATGTGCTTTAGGCAACTCCCTAGGACTTATCAAAACAGGTTGCCATCTGTGTTGGTAGAAGAATTCCTTACACTGAGGAAATCACAGATTCTCTTTGCACGTATGGAGTACTGTACACAGCATTGGAGCTGAGCTCCAATGAGGCTGGATCTCTGCAGGACATAAAAGAAACAGAGATCAAAAGCTCTGGGCTAAGTAGAGGTGTGGTGGAGGGATGGGGACCTCCTAATTTGATAGTTTAGATGTAGGATCTATGTCACTTTTCAGGACCTCCTAGAGCCAACAAGGACCAGGTTTAAGCTAAACGTAGGTGGAACCTCTGACTTTTTTTTTTCAGGTAGAGTTGTGGTTTATACAACAGTCTCCTCCTCATCAGACAGGTAGGTCCATGGAGTCCCTTATAAGCTTAGAGGTGGAATCAAGGATTTATTGGGCCCTGGACACCTGACTCACTTCAGTTGCATCCTATCAGAAGATAAACACTCTAGTTTAGTCTGTGCCAGTGAATAGTCCCCACTCACACTGATACTTTTCTCCTCTCCTTCAGTTCACGGTTGGCACCGTACCACATCCCAAAAGACAAGTAGAGAGTTTATTTACTGACAGAATGACTTAGATAAAGACATCCAACCAAATCATCCTGTCACCATTCCCCAATGGGGCCTTCAATGTACACAGAGCTTCAGTATCAGGGGTTGAACGCCATAATATTTCTGTTCTACTTAAGGGTCATGTCTTTGCCCACAGATTGCAATAACATCTACTATATACTGGGATATCGATGATGACCATCATGCTGAAGATGATCTTTAATAAGATTTTGTCCTTTTAAAATAGTCTTGCGAATAAAGATAAAAGCATCCACCCTCCCACATGCTATTTCACTAGCCAAGGAGGTAAGACTGGTTGGGGGTATAAATGGAACCAGTATAAACCAAGATTTTCTCCTCCAGATAAGTAGGCTAATGACTGACTATTTCCAAAACTGCTTCAAAATGGATACAGAAAATGGGGATAACTTGGGAGATGATGTGATCTCTGAAGATTCCCAGAGCTCTCAGCAATGAGTCATGCGCAGATATGTAATGAATTATTCATAGAGATAGTTTCCATCTCACTCTCTCCCTCCAGGTAGATGAAAATCCACGTGTATTTTAAATGTTTTCTCATTCTATTAGATCATTCCAGCCAGCCAAGGTGGGAGGAAGAGTCCCACAGTCCCCAGCAAGCAGACAATGACAAACATCCACAGAAAGATCCTGTCTATGACCATGGCAACATACTTCCAGTCTTCTTTCACCTAGAAGTGGGACAAAACAGTGAGTTACTAACCATTCCCTCCAACATTCAGAGGCATTTTCTGTAACATTCTGCTTGTGCAGAGAGAAGTTATTTTAGGACTGAGTGAGAGATAGAAGAGATATATAGGAAGCAATAGATATTCTTGACTCATGTTAACTCTAGATAATCACAAACCCATTATCGTAGGGAAATGTGCAGACTGGAAGCCAGGATAGCTTCTGCACATATCACTGAATCCTGGGAACATGCCCAGTACTTGAACAAAGAGTGGAGAAATACTGTGGGGTAGATCTTGATTCAAAACCCTTTTGTATATAAAGCTTGGTCTGGAGTCCCCATTTAAGTTACAAACACCCCCACCATTACCTAAAAGGGGAAATTTTCTCTTCTCTCATGGGAGCCCTGGGAACTCTCTGGGATTTAGGGCATTTCAGAGCCAGAGGAACCAAGCAGAACAGCCATGACTGCTCAGGGGCATCTTGAGCAATTAATTTCACACTAACTGTGTGTATCCTTAAATAAAGTCTATTAAAGTGAGCCAGCTATGAATATGTTCAGTTTGTTAGGCTACAGGAATCCTTAGAACCTAGGAACTCCTATGAAGACATATGTATGTATATATACATGCACACACATAGACACACATTCCTTGAGCTCCACAGCTATGCAATGCATTGATCAATTGCTTAGTTAAGTCTTATGTGGCCTTGACTAAGGAAGCATCCAGGACATATGTCATGAGCTTCCATCCTTGACTTTCTGTGCAGTTAGCTAAAGGGTCTCCCTGAAAAAGTTTGGAAATTTTTTTCATAGGCCATTAGAGCAGAAAAGAACCTAAAAGAACACCTCACCCAATCCTTCATTTTACAGATGAGGAAGTCTAAACTACAAAAAAGGGCTCTTTTGTGTGATCTCTGCGAAATCACAGTATCGGTGGGCCTCAGTCTCCTCATCTGTAAAATAAGGGATTGAATTAGATGACCTTTAAGGTATCTTCCAGCTTCAAATCTTTGATTATGTCAGGCTCAAGGTTGCACAGTGAGTTCCTGTAAGAATTGAGACTGGAAACCAAGTCTCCCGACTCCCAGTTCAATCCCAGTATTTTCCACTGAACCATCGAGGGCCACCCACTCTTTGATTCAAATTCACGTGATAAGAACAGGCAGAGAGATTTCTGGTTAACAGAGAGGTGTGCAAAAGCCTTAAAGGACTGGGGGGCGAGGGGAAAGATGTGATGAGTTTAAATTCCTCAGTCAGTTCTCTCTTGTTTGCATCTTGTGCTGACTGAGGAAATATCTGGAAGGGAAGGAGGGAGCATGAATTTATTGAATGTCTTCTGTGTGCCAGGTATCATGCTAAGTGTTTTATAAATATTATCTCATTTGATCTTCACAACAACCATAAGAGGTAGGTACCATTATGATCTACATTTTACAGTTGGGGAAACTGAGGCAGATAGAGGTTAAATGACTTGCTCAGGGTCACACAGCTAGTGTCTGAGGCCATATTTGAACACAGGTCTTCATGACTCTAGGCTCAATGCTCTATCTACTGTGCCACCCAGGTGCTTCCTAAACTAGGTTTCAAGTGACGATGATGCCATACAGAGGTAGCACATGAGACAACCTGAAGGCATTTCTGGTGAGGGGGGAAAGATAATAATGAACTATGGAAGTGATGCTACTCTGAATCCTAGTGTGTCAAAAAGTTTTCACTCTGGCCTTCACCTCACCGTTTAAAGTTCCACAGTCTCTCTGCTCCTAGGCATAGGAGAGAATAGGCTATTGCTCTGACTGTGACAAGATACGGAAAGATTTTCCTGTCCTTTGAACTCCAAAACTGTTATTTTGAGATTTGGCTGTAACAGGTATAGGTCCATAGCACAGCAATGTACTTTCATAGATGGGGTTAGTAACACTTCAGGAGATCTTACAGAAAGCTAGCAGGATCTTGTTAATCTGTGTCTAAAACCCTGTGTAAAGATGAGTGAATGTTTGTATGAATGAGTTACAAGTTTGCTGATATTCTTATATAGATTCTGAGGGTGTATGTATCTATGTCTCTCTATCAGAATTTTTGAGGGCTATTCAAAACTATCAGGTCTATTAGCTCTGACTTGACCTAAATAGAGTAAATAAGTCCCTATTAAGAGGAGAAAAGAAACTGAATGTCTCACAAGCACCTTTTCGAGGTTTACTGTTTTGCTATCTCTTCTTGGTAACTTTCCTCTTCCATCACTAGCTTCTCTCTTTCAAAGAGTGTTGACAGTTCAGTTGGCTTTAGATGGTCACAAGTGATTCTCCAAATTAAAGCAGGGCCCATTTCAGGAGGGCAGCTAATCTACAAATGAATAAATTGTGACCTATCCCTATCTGTGTGTTTACAAATCCAGAAAGTGTATAGGAGATAGTGGTCTTAGCTGCTTTCAAAATAGCCCATTCCAATGTTTAATCCCTGCTCCCATAAAAATATTTCATGGTCTGCACAGAGCCCCCTTAAAATTGATGGAAAAAGAGAGAGAAATAGAACTAAACTTCAGTTTAGGGGCTTTGTAAGTGTATTGAGGTATCAAACAGTTGTCCGATAGGCTTTTCTGCTCCACTTTCTTATGTAATTGCTGGAGTCCCGGTGCTAAACCAAATCGAAACAAATGTGTTTATTTAAGCAGGGCCAGAGAAGCAACAAGGTAATTTATTAGTAAAGATGCTGTTTATAATCCCTCTATTCCCAGGGAAAGCCAGAAAAGCCTGGTTCCCAAGGGTATTATTTTTCCAATTTTCTTCTAATTGCCTTTTCCTTTTGTCCTCCCAACACCACATTTCTCTCCTGAAGATGAAACATGGGAGCCGACCAGAGTGTTCCCGTGCTTCATCCCTGAATGTTGATCTGTGTGAAGTCTGCTGTACTCCCCAGGGACTTGTAACTCATCAAAGATGAAATGCAGGTCACCTCAGCCCTGTGAAAGGGATCTGGAGATAAAGGGTTGTTTGGATGGCAGTGACACAGTGAGCCAAAGGAGAAAAAAATATGTTTGTCTTTGTGTGTGTGTGTATGTGTGTTGTGTTGTGTTGTGTTGTGTTTATTTGTTTCCAATCTCATTCCAGAGTACTTGTTCTGACAGTACTTTATGTACTGATAAATGCCACATTTATCTCTTGGTTTTCATTAAGATTTTGATTAAACTACTAAAGGAATGTGTTATTCCCAAGGGGCACATTTTCTCAGATATGTATTATGCCATGAGATAGGAAATCTTTCTTCTGTTTTAAGAACTCACAGGGAAATCTCTCCCACTGACTGCATAAGGCATCTTTGGGCTTCCACCCTTGGCATTTACTGACGTGAGACCCATTCTAGGAGTCCTCAAGGCAAGCTTTGCTCCTGAGTCTTCCCTCCCCATTATTCTCTACTTCATTATCCTGTGGTTGGATCGATCTGATTTTCCTAGGGTTTAGCTGTTCATTTTTCCACCCTTCACTTAAAGTTTTATTTTAGGATCAATTTCCAGCTAATGGAGGATAAAAGCTCCCAGTATACCTACTGTAATTCTTCAGCTTGGCATTCAAAACCCTCTTCAGACTGCACTGCCTCAATCATCTTCCCTCAGTTCTTACTCCTTCCCAGTGTGCAACCTCTACTTAAATCAAGCTGGTCCCATTATCCTCTGGAAATATTCTCCTTGTTCCTCTGTCCCCGCCTTTGGGCATATTGATCTACCCTACCCAAGATGTGCTTCCTATATCCCTCCCTCTCCACCTATTCTAATCCTACCCATCCTTTAAGGCCTAGCATAATTCTCACCTAATCCAGGAAGCCTTTTTTGTCTTCTCCAGCCCTCATTGATCCCTCTGCTTTACTGAACTACGAGCCCCTTATCGTCTGAATTATACAATCTAACACATCTTTAGGTGCCCTGAATGGAACTGCAGGAAGTCAAGAAACTGAGCCAATAGGGTCCACTGCCTATCTACGTCACACAATCTTAGTTGGATTCTCACTACAGCAAGGCAATCCTTTTATATCTTCCTAATAGCTTCTCTCTCTCCTACTTACAGCTATCCCAAAGCTTTTCATCCCTCCTCAAGCCTACCATAGCACCCTCCTCCCATTATCTAAAGTGGGGACCTCAATTCACTTAAAAACCCTGACGCCATTCAATGAGAGTTCTCTCATCTCATATCACTCATACACTTCCCAAGATCTCTTCCTTAACCCCCATCTCATGTGAAGAGGAGGATCTTCTCCTTGCCAAGTCAAACCCCCTCTTACATGCATCCTTTATCCTTTCCCTTCCCATCTTCTCCAGTAGATTGTTTCCTCTCATCATCCCAACTTAGCCTTCAATCTCTCCCCATCTACTATCCTTCCCTAATGTCAACAAACACTTCCATGTTTCCCCCATCTTAAAAAAACCTCTCACTTAATCCATCTTCACTGGTTAACATCCTATATCTCTCCTCTCCTTCATAGCTAATTCCTTGGGGAAAGCAGTCTATCTTTGGTGCGTCTATTTCTTTCACTCTCACTTGATTCTAAATCCTTTGCAATCTGGCTTCTGACCTTGTACTTTGACTGCAACTTCGGTCTTCAAAGTTAGCAGTGATCTTGTAATTGCCAAATAATGGTCTTTTCTCAATCTTCATGCTTCTTGATCACTCAGTAGCCTTTGACACAGTCAGTCACTTTCTTTTCCAAGATATTCTTTCAACTCTGGAATTTTATGACACTAATTTCTCCTAGTTTTCCTCATACCTATCTGACCATGTCTTCTTTAACCCTAATCCCAATTCCTTCTCAGTCTTCTTTGCTGGTTCTTCACTTACGTCATGCCATCAACTCTGGATGTCCTCCTAGATGCTGTATGAGCCCTCTTTTCTTTTCACTCCATACTATGTATCTCCTCTGGTGATCCAACCAGCTCCCTTGGGTCCAATTATCTCTTCACAGAAAGTGCACAGAGCTATATATCCAACCCTAATCTCTCTCCTAAGCTCTAGTCTTGTATCACCAATCCCTGTCTTGGACATCTCAAATTATTCATCTCAAACTCAACATATCAAAAAGAGAACTTACTGTATTTTCCACCACAAAGCTTTCTACTCTTCTTTTTTTTGGGGGGGGGGAACTAGGCAATGGGGTTTTTGGGACTTTTGTACGAAGACAGATACCTTGCCTTAATGGGACAATTTCATATATTATGTGGCAGACCACCCAGGGTCATCTGTATACCCAGTAACATGCTTAGAGCTGGCTCTGTAAATATCATAACTTTATTTGTTCCATTATGATCCTTGGAATCCTACTGATTTCCCCTGGTTTCCCCATCATCAACTATGTCCTACTCTTGAGAACAGCACCATTGATGGCTCTTGAAGCAATCCTCACAGATCAAATTCTGTTTGTCCTTGGCTTCAGGGCCATAGGAAGGCCTGAATGGAAAGAGTGCTGGACCTAGTGTCAGAAGACCAGAATATCAGTATTGGCTCAGCCTCAGCAGTGATATGAATTTGGGTAAGTCCCTTGGCCTCTAAGAACCCTAGTTTCTCCATCTGTAAAACAGGAGTGAAAATATTACTTACATTATCTACCACAGAATTGTTGTAACAAAAGGGCTTTGTAAACCTAAAAGTACCTAATAAGTGAAGCTTTTCTTTCCCCTGCCATCTTTATCATTATCATCTTTCATGGCTCTCAAAATTCACACAGCTCTAGTCATTTTGGCTCTCTCTATTATTGCAATCAATTAATCAATCAGCATTTATTAAGTGCCTACTAGGTACCAGGCATTGTGTTAAGTGCTGAAGATACAAAAAGAGGCAAAAGACAATCCCTGCCCTCAAAGAGTTTACAATCCAACAGGAAAGGCAACATGCAAACACATACATAAGAAGTAAGCTAAGTGGTGCAGTGGATAGAGTGTTGGGCCTGGAGTCAAGAAGATTCCTCTTCCTGAGTTCAAATCTGGCCTCAGACACTTACTAGCTGTGACCCTAGGCAAATCACTTTATCCTGTTTGCCTCAGTTTCCTCATCTATAAAATGAGCTGGAGGAGGAAACGACAAACCGCTCTAGTGTCTCTGCCAAGAAAACCCCAAATGGGGTCGTGAAGAGTCAGACACAAGTGAAAACAACTAAATAACAACAACAAGCCATATACAAGATAAACAGGAGGGAGCACTGAAGGTCGGCTTCCACTCCCTTTTCTAAGTCCTTTCTCAATTCTTTCCACTTTGTGGCCTTCATCAACACAGCACAAGACTTTGATTTTGAGACAGTTGGGTGGTACAGTGGTTAGAATCAAGAAGACCTGAGTTAACATCAGATCTCAGATACTTATTAACTGTATAACCTTGGGCAGCTCACTTAACCTTTATCTGCCTCAGTTCCTTCTATTTTAAAATGGAGTTCGGAATAGCACCTACCTTCTAGTGTTATTGTGAGGTTGAAATGAGATAATATTTACAAAGTACTGAGAATAATGCCTGGCACATAGTAGGCCCTTTATCAATGCTAGTTTCTTTCTTTCCTTTGATTTGGAAAAAGTTTTCTGTCCGGGAGAGATTCTTCTTAGGGATTTGCAAACCCAGATTGCACAATTGAGTGACGATTTTCCTTTTTTTTCTTGCTCAATGTTGCACAGGTAACGTGTGACAGACCCAGGGTCATTCCCATCCTTTGACCTTCAGTCATCCCCCTTTCACACTCTTGAATATCATTCTGGAATTGATGTCATCCATAAACATGAAGAGCAGTTATATGCAATTGGTTCTCAGTTGTATGGGAGTAGGGGGTTAGCTGCTGCACAAGTTAAATCCTAACCTGGCTTTCCTCTGACCCCCAACACACGTGCAGAAGTCCTACTCTAAAGAGTCCTACTCTTCAGGACCACCCTCCCTTACTGCAATGTTCTGCCTCACCCCACCATGGGAACTAAAGAAAATCAGGCTTATTTAAAATTAACTGGTCATGGGGAGGCAGGGGGAAGGAAATTAAGTCTGCAGCAAACAGACACACAAATCATTCAATACATTTCAAAAGTTTGTATACATGATTTGGGGACTAGCCACTGTTTTTTACCTCATCCATGCTACCCTTCCCTGTCATTGGAGAGGAAAATAAAAAGCAGACTGCATATTGTATTTATCTAAGGACCTGTTCCAGTGTGCCCTTTGATTTCTGACAGCTGCTATAGGTTGGACTTAATAAACCCTTGTTGGGTGATTGACTGACTGAATGACTTACCGAAAAATCCGTGTCTTCTGCCTTCAAATGGTCTGCAATGTACTGGACTCCCTCTACTGCAAGTTTCAAGGCTGGTGACATGGGCAGGGCATGCTGTTCTTTGGTGCTGCGTGGTTTGGTCACTGGATCTGAGCCAGGTGCAACCTTGACCTTCTTGCATTGACACTTGCATGGGGAGGGCTTCTCCTGGGATTGGACTTCATCTTTGGGGCTCCTCAAAGAGGCTGGGGAGCTGGCAGACTGTCCATTGTTTGCCTGGGAAGAGTCCTCTTGGAGAGAGCAGTACTGGATGCTCCTTGACCTGCAGCGGATGCCTCCTTCCTCCACTTTGCTGGAGCTGTACATTTGTTGCACGCTTAGAGATCTGACTTTGGAGAAGCCAGAGGGATGTGTATTATTTGGAGGTGGTTGGGGAGTGGGTGAAGAGCAGGGACTGGGCTTCCCAGGTTCAGGATGCTGCAGCACAGTATACTGACCTGAGGGAGACTTGCAGACAGGCTGCGGTTTGACTGGGTCTTCCAGGTGGATGCAGAATGAAGCTGAGGGTGATCGGTCTGGGCTCTGGGGGCTGGCGGGAGATGAGGTGACAAAATTAGGCTCTGGCTGTGGCCAGAACCTTGGACCTCCAGCGAGTTTGTGCATGGACTCAACCAGCTTCCTGCAGTTGTCCTTCACCACACCAGGACGTTTCATGAAGAGCAAGCGAGGGATGATATCCAGGAACACCCTTCTGACCCACGCAGGCATGGTGTGTGTGCGAGGTGAGCGATGGTGCACATTGAGCACAAAGACAGTGATGATGATGGACAACGTCACAAAGATCATTGTGAAGAGCAGGTACTCCCCAATCAGGGGAATGACCAGGGATGTGGATGGGATGATCTCAGTGATGAGAAGTAGGAACACAGTCAAGGATAATAGCACAGAAATGCACAATGTGATCTTCTCCCCACAGTCTGATGGCAGGTAGAAAACCAAGACAGTCAAGCAGGAAATAAGAAGGCAGGGGATGATGAGGTTGATGGTGTAAAACAGGGGGAGCCTGCGGATGATGAAGGAGTAGGTGATGTCTGGGTAAATTTCAGTACAGCACTCATACTTCTTAATGTTATAGTTTCCAACAGCATTGATGATGACCCACTCGCCACTCTCCCAATAGTCCAGCTGGTCCACATGGCTGTGCATGCTCACCAAGTCAATCTTTGCTTTGTCATAGGTCCAGGAACCAAACTTCATGGTGCAGTTTTGCTGGTCAAAGGGGAAGAAGGTGACATCAATGCTGCAGGAGCTCTTATAGATTGCAGGGGGTGTCCATTTGATCCTCCCATCATAGAAAAGGTGGGCTTTGGTCAGGTGGGTCACAGCAAAATCACCATCTGCACTAGGGTAGAAAAGACGAGAAGCCAATAAGAACATTAGGACTGTTGGTGTCACAGTGAGCACTAGCACTCTCTGGCCAGCCACATTGTAATTCCTTCCTCGGTTCCAGGTTAGAGAGAAAACACATGAGGACATGAGTAAAAATATAGACATGATTACACAAGTGCAGTTCTTTGCAATAATAATAATAATAATAATACCAGCAGTACCTGCCTAGTGGAATTTTGAGGCTGAAATGGCATAATGTATATACAGCACTTTTCAAACCTTAAATACTTCATAAATGTCAGTTTATTATTATTAAAGAATAATTTTTCTCACTTTGTTCAATAAAGTTCAAATAAAAATGGTCCTGGGGAAAGTCGATAGCCTGTTATTATTCTTTCATATTTAGTGTTCTGTGGACAGCTGCACAGAATGATCAAATAACTGCTTTTTGTAGTTGAACAAAAGAAGTAGGATAGAAGTTCATCTTCTGTAGGCTCACTGAAAGTATTCATGGTACAAGTCCTGTAGCAGACAGGAGGATATGGACCTCATCCTGTTCTCAGATTATTTTGATTTCATATGCTGGGTCTATTTTGAAAACTGTTTACTCCATTTCAGTTGAAGATTCTGAATTACTATTCCTGTTATTGTTGTGGGAGTGGTACATAGTTTTGTGCTTTTCAAGGCACTTTATCTAATTTGAGCTTCACAGCATCCCTGTGAGAGAGACAAGGCAATCACCATCCTGGTTTTACAGGCTGGAAGGCTGAGACTCAAGGGAGGTTAGGTAACTCCCCCAAGGCCATGAAATCAGCCTGTAGAAATGGCTAGGAAGTGGAACCCAGGTTTCACGACTCCAGTCTTCTTTCCAGTAGAATACTCTACCTTCCCAGGCCACAGCTTTCTCTCTGAATAGATTATATCCCAGTTACACTAAGAAGTGGATAATAACATGATACTGGATATGATACACGTATAATATGACACATTTATGTGGGACTTCAAAGTTTAAAAAACACTTTCCTTATATCAACCCAATGAGCTTAGTACATAAGTGCTGTACGTGTTATTACAAATGAGGAAGCTGAAACTCCAGAGCTGGAGTGACTTGCTCAAACTCATGCAGCCAGCAAGAGACAGGATTTGAACCTGGGTCTTCTGACACCAAGCCCAACATTCTATCCAACACACCAGACTGCCTCTCATGGATAATTTGATTTCAAAACTGAAGCACCAGGAAGGATAAAATTAAATTGCCACTTAGCAGCCAGCCACCAGTCACAGAGGCCCACAATGGGAAGATGTTGCTGTTTGGAAGAGGCAACGTGATGTACTGCAGTGGTGTCAGACTCAAATAAAATCGGGGCCATTAATTCACCATACATACATACGTACATAAAGGTCTCCGTGTGTGGCATACGGACTTAGTTTGAAAATGTAATGCTATCTATATTTATTTATTTTGTTAAACATTTCCCAATTATATTTTAATTTGGTTCTGGCAGCATGAGAGTGTTCCTAGCTTGCAGCCAATGGGCTTCATGTTTGACACCTCTTTTTACACTGTAGTGTATAGAGAGATGGCCTGAAGCCAAGAAGACCTGCATTCAAGCCCCATCTTTTATACATGGTGGCTTTATGACCTTGGGCAAGTCAATTAACTCTCAGTGTTCTAGGTCAGTGGTTGTTGTTCAAGCATGTCCAACTCTTTGTGACCCCATGGACCTCTGTCCGTGAGATTTTCTTGGCAAAGGTATTAGAGTGGTTTGCCATTTTCCTCTCTCGTGGATCTCTGATCCAAGTCAGTAGTGTCAAACTCAAATAGAAATGAATCACTGTGGACCACATACTGACTTAGAAAGCTCCAAATTAACATTATGTATTGTATTTTTAAAATTTTTTTTATAACATTTCCCAATTACATATTTTTTGTTGGTTTTGAGATGCAATGGGGTTAAGTGACTTGCCAAGAGCCACACCGTTAGTAAATGTCTGAGGCTGAATTTGAACTCAGGTCCTCCTATCTCCAGGGCTGGTGCTCTATCTGGTCTACCACTTAGCTGCATCCCCTCCCCATTACATTTTTTTAAAATTTATTTTTATTTTGGACACAATGGGGGTTAAGTGACTTGCCTAGGATTACATAGCTAGCTAGTAAGTGTCTGAGGCTGGATTTGAACTCAGCTCCTCCTGACTTCAGGGCTGGTGCTCTATCCACTGTGCCACCTGGCTGTCACCCCAATTACATTTTAATATGCTTCCCACCACACTTGATAGTTTTGTTTGTAGCCTATGAGTTTGATGCCTCTGTCTAGGCAACTCTCTGAGAATAAGCTGCAGAGAAGGTATCAATCTGCATTCATAAAAGGAATTTCCTTACCTAGGAATTCCCTATTCTAGTAAAATCACAGGTCTAGTCCCTATCCCCTTTCTTTATTCTGTAATTAAATTCCTGCCATCCCAGAGAACTTCCCTGTTGATTATAATTATCATTGCCCTCAACCCTACTGACGTCTTGGCCTATGGTACTGCTAGATACTTTCAGAAACAGCCATAGCCCAAACCTTAGGACCAGAAAGAATCTCAACTCTGGGGCTTGCCGTCTTCTCAACAGGATCCCAGATCCAGGTTCTGGACCCTTAGCTCCTCTTGCCAAATTGATTCTATAGCTACTCTATATTCACTGATCAGTGAAGGAAACACAAAACAGTTATTAGATGCTACTACTATTAGACAAGTCTCTGCATAATGGAACTAGAGCCTCCGACCACTTCCAACTTCTACCCTTAGCCTCCCACTCAGCCTTGCTGAAGTTGCCACTGGAAAGCATAGAGAATGAATTAGAAGTACCCCCTTCTAGGGGGCCCCAGGAAGATGCACACAGAAGTAGAGACTCATCCAAGAAAGAAGCCTGATGCTGCCAGGCAGATAGCTCCCTTCATCCTACAATGCCCGACTGATACCTAAAGATATACACCAGTGAGATCTGGTTAATGGTTGTGCTGGAGCCAGCTCAAACTGAGCTGAGAATTAAATTTGCATTGTGAACATCTATACCTCAGAAATCAGCAAACGCTAAAAATCAGGACTTGATTATTTGACTTGATTTATATATCATTATATTAATATATAATTATATACTAGCATATAATATATATAATACTATACTATATATTATACTATATATAATACTATATATAGTATATAATAGAGAGAGAGAGAGCTAGCAAGAGACAGGATTTGAACCCAAGTCTTCTGATACCAAGCCCAACATTCTATCCAACAAGCAGACTGCCTCTCATTGATAATTTAATTTCAAAACTGAAGCACCAGGAAGGATAAAATTCAATTGCCGCTTAACAGCCAGCCACCAGTCACAGAGGCCCACAATGGGAAGACATTATATATATGTATGATTATATATTATATAATATTGTATATTACATTATATATTATATAATTATTAATACTAAATATATTATTTGACTTGAGTTATTGTTTTGTTGATTGCTTAGATTTAAAAGAGTAATGGAGAAAATGTAAATAATGAGATTAAATTTGAAAGCCTGTCATTTATACAGGGCTCCCTTTCCACATGTCCCCAAGAGAGTCAGTTGTTAAACATTTGCCAGCATACCATTGGATCTGGCCCATTATTACTACTTCTTTTTCTTCCTTGCAAAAAGGCAGATGAGTTTTATTCTGTTCAGTCACCAAATGAAAACGAACAAACAAACAAAACTAAAACAAAGTTGTTTCTTTGGCAGATTCTTTTAATGGACTTTAATGAGGGATCAAGAAAAAAAAGTCTGACCCTTTGCAATTTAAGTATAATGCAAATTGATCCAAGTAGTGAAATGTAATCCACTGTGATGTGATCTAATGTAGTGTCACCCAATGTGATCTCATCGTGTATGTGGTCTAGTACTGTGTCATCCAATGTGTCATACTCCAGCATATGCTAATCCAGACTGGGGTCATCCTCTGTACCATAAATCTAATGAAGTAGGATCAGCCTCAATAGAGAGGAGAGGCTATTTGAAGTTCTTGTGCTTTATTCAGGGGCCATTTATACATAGACATTTTGTGTCATGGTCAAATATACAGTAGTCTGTTTAAGCCAACTGACCCCTTCTAAGAATACTCTTTTTAAATGCATAAAAGTGCACAAAATACACAGGGTTGCAAAGGAAAACAATTACATTGAAATGGAATTTTCAAAATATTTAAAAAACCCCCCAAGTTTATGGACTTTAGGTGGTAAGTAAGGGTGAGCTTCTGAACAGCTCAAACTGTACCCATCAATATTACTATACTTGATAAAATCCTGATGCAATAATAGATTGCCCCCTTTCCACTGACACCTGCTTTATACCTCTCTTTTTAAACTTTGTTGCTTCTCAGAAAGCTGAGATACTGGTTATGATGTAATGGAAAGAGGCGTAGCTGGCAGTGCTTGCTGACACAGAGGTTATCTAGCAAACATCCTGCAGCCAGACACTCTGTGGCTCTGAGTCACAGAGCCTGATAATGGATCACACAGCATCTTGTGTTATTCTTTAATTATTTCAGGTGTGTCTCATCTCCTTAGGCAGACTGTGAGCTTCTTGTGGGGAAGGGACAAGACCATTCTCTTTTTCCATGTTCTCTCAGAGGACTTAGCACAGCGCTCAATCAATATTTGCTCAGGATTTAAACCAGCCTGTTCTCCAAGGATCTAGTGCATTTAAATCTAGCAAGCTGTTGGTCTCTGCCTTAAATACAAGAAAGCGTCTTCTCTTAGCAAACAGACTATCTATGTCCCAGTTGTCTGAGCTGCCAAAGTATGAAGTGTCTAACAGCTGGGTTTTTCATGTTGAGGAGATATAGAATGGGCTGAAAGCCTAGAAAGGTTTACAGGCCACATGGGCATATGAAAGGCCAGAAATGCAGTTAGTCTGGGAAAAACAAAAACCTTGCCTCCTGGGTCTAGTTTTGTTTCAATGTCTCTTGTCCTCCTCCTACTCATTTGAA